CCCGCCGGCGCCGCCCCGGCCGCCGCCCCGCCCGCGGCCTCGCCCTCCGCCTCCGCCTCAACTCCACAGCACCTCGGTGCCCGCCCGCCGCCAACGCCACACTGATCCCAGCGTGCCTGGAGCACTTGGGGAAACTGAGGCAGAGCGGGTGAGCGGTGAATTCACTAGTTACGGCCGTGCCGCGCCATCAGCGAAATACCTCGTAGGACAGGGGCGAAAACTACAAACACCCTCGGGATCGTCAGGGGACACTCCACAGGGTGACAGATAACAGCGTGCGGACAGAAGAGCGGATGGCGGGGCGGAGGGGAAACGCTTCAGAGGGGCAGGACTTACAGCGATCTTGAGAGATAGCTAGGACTAACAGAAGCTGAAACTCTGGGATCGGGTCCCTACGTGGTCACACAAAAGCACGATCACGAGGCTGCTTGTTTCTTTCACCCGTTACTTATTTGCCAGACAATGTTCGTTCTTTTACGCATGCATTTAAGTGTTCAGGAACATCTGTGCAGATGTAGCCCGCTGCTCGTAAAGGGAGACGGAAATATAAACCGCCACAAAACCACGTCATGGGTAATCACAGGCTGTGCAATGGGTGAGGACACTGAAGAGGGACCCCACCCGGCGTGCAATGATCGAGGGAGGGGTTCAGAGAGCTAACGTGTGTAGTTCCCACAGGATCGTGACTTCAGGCCATACTAGATTATCCTGGTGGGCTCAGTGCAATTGCCAACCTTCTTTTAAAACGGCAAAGAAAGATGCAGGTCGGCGACAGCAAAGTCACGTAGATTTGATGATGCTCAGTTGCTGACTTTGAAAATGGATAAATGCAGCGGGGAGAGGTGACACATGCCTGTGATCCCAGCGCTCCCGGAGGAGGTGGAGGCAGGCGGATCTCTGTGAGTTCAAGGACAGCCTGGTCTACAAATTGAGTCCAGGACAGCCGAGGCTACACAGAGAATCCCTGTCGAGAGAGAGAGAGAGAGAGAGAGAGAGAGAGAGAGAGAGAGAGAAGGGATCAATGGTTTGTGAGTAGCAGACTGAGAAGTTTCTAGAAGGCCGAGAAGGCTAGAGGACAGGTCTTTCCTAATCCGCAGAATACCTGGTGACACTTTAATTTTAGCTCTGTGACACCAACTTGTTATGGTTTGAATTTGAAATGTACCCCCACAGGTTCCTTCTCTTTAATACTTAGTGGAAAGCAAGCTATGGGGCTTTGGGGCAGTGGGGCTTCCATAGTCCACTAGGGCAGTCTTGGGGGTTATAGCCAGGCTTCACTTCTGGCCTGAAACACCAGGTTCCTGTCTGCTGTGATGTGAGCACCAGGCACATATTCTAGCCACTACCGTGGAACAGGTTCTGCCACACCTTCCTTTTTAGGCTGGAGCCCATGAGCCAAAACAGATCTTTTCTCCCTTACATTGTATCTGTCAGGTATTTGGTTGCTGTGATGAAAACATACCTAATGCTTCACTTCAGACTTCTGAATTCTTTTTGTCTTTTTTTCCCCAGAGCTGAGGACCAAACCCAGGGCCTCTACCACTGAGCTAAATCCCCAACCCTGACTTCTGAGTTCTGAGTCGGTAGGTAAACAGATTTGAGTTTGTGGTAAGTCGCTGAGGAAACTGGGGATGGTGAGATGCTCGGCAGCTAAGAGTGCATGCTGCTCTTGCTGAAGCCCTGAGTTGGGTTTCCAGCATCCACCATGTAAGGGGGCTCACCTGTAACTGCAGCTCCAGGGGAAGCAGCCAACTAAGATGATTGTGTGGTTTTTGTTTATTTGCTTAATGTGGTGTGGTACATAAATTGATTGCTGTATTGTAGAACCCTACTTTATTTAGGGTTCTTAAACGCTTCTACCTCCCTTCCAACCCACTGACCAGAGGTAGGGAGAAAAGAAGGTTATGAGAAAAAGGGGGTTGCAGACCTCTTTAGACAGTTCCTTGGGGCAATCCCAGCAGTCCAGTCAAATAACAAGACACCAAACAGTGGTACAGATCAACAGCAGTGGCACATTTCAGCGGAAACAGCAAAAAGCCACCAAATCAGAATGAGTCGGCAAAAGCCGCAAAGGGGAGAAGCCCTCTGCTCTGGAGCATTTCTCTCACAGAAGTGAAGTGTTGAAAACGAAGACCAGTGAATCAATGTGGACAGTTTCAAAGCATAGCAATCTGAAAGCGTTGTCTCCCCGTCCGTGGGCTATTTATCCATTCAGAGTCCACCGGAGGCTGTTTAAAAGCCACACCCCTGGGAGGTTTCGCCTTCCCCCCATCAGAATGGCGAAGATCAAAAACCCAAGTGACAGCAGATGCTGGAGAAGATGTGCAAAATGGGGAACCCTCCTCCATTGCTGGTGAGAATGTAAACTTGTACAACCGCTTTGGAAGTCAATCTGGTGCTTTCTCAGAAAGTTAGGAATAGTGCTTCCTCAAGATCCAGCTATACCACTGCTAGATAGATACCCAAAATTTGCTCAAGTACACAACAAGGACATTTGTTCAACCTTGTTTGTAGCAGCTTTATTTGTAATAGCCAGAAGCTGGAAACAACAAAGATGTGCCTCAACAGAGGAATGGATACAGAAACTGTGGTACATTTACACAGTGGAATACTACTCAGCAATTAAAAACAAGGAAATTATGAAATTTGCAGGCAAATGGTAGGACTTAGAAAAGATCATCTTGAGTGAGTAACCCAGAAACAGAAAGACACACATGGTATGTACTCACTCATAAGTGGTTATTAGACATTTAATATAGGATAAACATACTAAAATCTACACTCCTAAAGAAGCTAAACAACAAGAAAGACCCTAGGGAAGATGCTCAATCCTCATTCAGAAGGACAAACATGGTGGACATCAGAAGCTGGAGAAGACAGGAAACAAAACAGGAGCCTACCAGACAGGGCCTCTGAAAGACTCTACGGATCCAGGTATTGAAGCAGATGCTGAGACTCATGTAGCCCATAGATTCAGTCTCCAAGTGGGATTCCTATTTAGGGGAGCAGGGATTTTCTCTGACATGAACTCAGTGGCAGGCTCTCCACCTGAGGTGGAGGGGAGGGTGGTACAACCTTGCCAGGCCACAGAGGAAGACAATGTAGTCCTGGTGAGACCTGATTGGCTAGGGTCAAATAGAAAGGGAGGAGGACCTTCTCTATCAGTGGACTAGGGGAGAGGCATAGAAAGGGAGGGAGGGTAAGATTGGGAGGAGATGAAGGAGAGGGTCACAGCCAGGATACAAATTGAATAAATTGTTATAAATGATAAAAAGAAAAGAAAAAAAGCCACACCCCTTGCACAAGACAGCTTCCAGCAAAACATTAGAACTCTCTCATTGTAAGTTAAACCAACCTTGCCTGGCTTAAGGTAAATCCACTTTGGTTAGGATACAGTCTTGTTGATATGTTGCTGGATTTTGTTCCATAATATTTTGTTGTAGATTTTTATGTCTGTATTATAAGAGAAGTTAGCTATAGTTTTCTCACATTATTTTTGTCTGGTCTTCATATCAGTGTAAAACTAGTTTCAGAGAATACACTGGGAAGTGTTCCCTCCTTTCCTACATTTTAGAAGAGTTTGGAAAGGATAGCAAATTGTTCTGCTTTGAATATCTGGAAGAATTCACTGTTAAAGTCAGTTAATTTTAAGCTTTCTTTTGGGAACTTTTCTGATTCTCGATTCAATCCCTGTAGCAATTGTTTTAAAGCAAGGTGGAGGCAATTAATTCTATCTAAGACTTTCATTTTGAAGTTTGTCTTCACTGGCTATAAAATGTCACGTTAACACTCCTTTTTTTTTTTTTTTTTTTTTTTTTTTGGCACTTTAGATTTTTCTGTCCTCTGTGGAAAATACACAGCTATTTCAATCATTGTTCTTTTCAAGTAATGAATTATTTTCTCTAGCTACTTTCAAAATTCCATGCTTCGTCATGTTTTCTTTTCCTTTTCAGCAGTTTAATGGATAGGCATAGATTTCTTTGAGTTTATCCTGTTTAGAGGTCACTAAATTGCTTGCTTCTGTAACTTGTGCCTTTTATCAAATGTGGGACTAGTCCTACATTTTTTTCCTGAAGTTTCTTGACATAAATTTGGTATTTCCTACCAGGTTTCTGAGGCTCAGATAATTTTTTTTTTTTTTTTTTTTTTTTAGAAAACTAGCTTTCTATTCATTCACATTACATAATTTCTATGAATCTGCATTTAAACTCACTGGTGCCTCTGTCATCTCTATTCTGCTATCAATCCTAACATGTCCATTTGGTTCCTCCTCATGTCATGATCCTTCTCACCTTTTCCTTCATTTCAAGAATGCTCACTCTTAGAGCACATTCTAAGTTATTTTCAATAACCCCAGCATGGTTGTTTGGTCTTCATCAACATTTATCAGTTGCCCTTTTGTTTTTCCTTTTTATTACCTTTTTATGCTAACTGAGTTTTTCTTTACTCTTTGTATGCTAAGTAATCCTGGATTAAACACTAAACAATTGATTTTTTTTTCTTTTTTTAAGTTTGCTTTTATTTATTTATTTTTATTTATTGCGATTTATTCACTTTGTATCCCAGCTGTAGTCCCCCCCTTGTCCCCCTCCCAATCC